CTGCTTCTGCCCAAGGGATGTGTTTGAAGTCCTCTTTGATATCTTTGAGGGCGCTGTGCACGGAAGAGGAAGTTAGGGGACCAGAGAGTGATGGCCTCTGTGTAAATTTTTCAAGTTAGATTAAAATTAGCACCGCAAGGGTTCGGAGGAACCTACCCGGTGAATAAAGAAGGCTTTTCAAAGTACAAAGAAAACCATGTGTACCAAGGAGGCAGCCCACAGAGGAAGCTCAGTGAAAGGAATGCAGCTCCTGTGGAATGTGCCAGCCTCTTCCGCTCCGCAGTGTTGACACCACGTGAATCTTTGGGTAGAATTAAGCTTACCCCCTCGTTTTTAACGTCAGGAAAGGGAAACCTGGAGAAGTGAAATTCCATGCACAGAGGTAGCTAGAAGCAGACACAGGACTATAACTGAAGTCTCCTAGTTCCTAGTCTCAGTCCTTTCTCCCCCCCTTGCCACTTTACTGCCAAATTCTGTGTATCTCAATTATGGGGTCTCAACCTGGGGTCTGTGAATGAGTCCGTGGGAGGGTGGGACTCTGAGCTTCCTAAAAATAAATTATATGCAAAAATATGCATATATGTCCAGTGCAGTTCCTGGTTGTCATCAGTTCCCCAAAGAGGTCTTTGATCCAAAAAGAGTGAAGAACCACTGTCCTAAATTCATAAAGACCTCAATGGGAGTGGGATCCTGGTGTCCTCATTTGGACCAATGGGAAGTCAAGAATTTCTCCACCATCTTTTCTCCAAGGAGCCAAAACTGCTGCCAAATATTGGTTTCTTCCTGCTCAGCCAAGTGTCCACTTCCATTCATTTGTTCCTTATTCCTTTATTCTGCAAACATATTTTGACTGTCCAGTCTATGTCCCAGCACCAGTTAAGCGTGTTCTCCAGGAGAGAACTGGGGAAAGGACCCCGCTGTGCTCTTCTTGGCAGAACGAACACCAGGCTGCTATCACATTCTCACTGTTGCAACAAAGTATATATAACCTCAAAATGCCAGTAACCACACCCCATACACGTACATATATCGGGGGGCCAGCAAAGCCAGCACAAAGAAGTGGGCCCTGTTAAAGAACCAGGGGCAGAGCAGCCTAGTTCCAAGTGACATGGGTATATGCCGCATGGCAGTAGCATATCCCATCATTGGAAGGGCTGCTCCCAGGTGAGCCCTTTTCTGAGACATCCCCATTGGTGAGTATGCACGCACAGCCACTGACTCTCCAACAAGGAGAGAATGTGTTTCATTCATCTTGACAATATTTGTAGTGGGCAAATAGGAAATCATGGCCATGGACATACGGTTACAGTTTAGGACAGATGTGTCTTAGACACAGATATGCAAATAGAAGCCCAGTTCTCCTGATTCCTCAACATAAGCTAGATCCAGTGTACACTGATGGAGGAAGTGACTCTATCTGTACCTGTGGGTTGTGCTTTTTCTGATATAACTTCAGGCACAATGGAATGCACCTGGGTTGTCCCACAGGCAAGGCTGGCGGAATCACTGCCTGGCCTTCCCTGAAGCGCAAGGGAGGTGCTGGTTGCTGCCCAGTGCCATTTGCATAACCCTCTGCCCAGACAATGACAAGGGAAGGCTTCTACTGAGATGGAGAAATATTAGTCCCCCTAGGTAGCATCTGAGTGGAGCTTGAAGATTTTGTTCACTGAGATCTATAAAGTATTTTGTTTAAGTCCTTAAACAATGGCAAAGACTCACCCCTTTTCTATTACCCATTCCAGGCTCATCCTTGGAAAAACCCACATGATTCTCTTTGGTAAAACAGTATACTTATATTCCAGGGTGAACCTTCAACATGTTTGGCCCACACACAAACACACACACGTACACACACATGCACACATAATGCATGGACACTCAATACACCTATAACACAGGTACACACATTCATGCATACACATAACACATACACCCATGCACACTGCCTTTTACAACATCCCTGACACATATGAGGTACATTTAAAATGTCTTAGCAGGCCTGGCTGGTGTGACTCAGTGGTTAAGTGTCGACCCATGAACCGGGAAGGTCATGGTTCGATTCCCAGTCAGGGCACATGCCTGGGTTGCTGGCTTGGTCCCCAGTAGGGGGCGTGCAGGAGGCAGCCGATTGATGATTCTCTCTCATCATTGATGTTTCTATCTCTCTCCTCCTTTCCCTTGCTCTCTCTGAAATCAATAAAAACATATTTTTTAAAAATAAAACAAAATGCCTTCGCAGACCCAGCCCTGTGGTTCAATGGGGTTTGACAGGCCACGGCTTCAGCTATGTGCAGGAACCCATAACACATACTACCTTCCCCTTCTATGTTTCCTGTGAGCTGGTCTGAGACCAGCCACGCAGTACACTAAAAAACAAAGCTGGAAAAGTGAATGTTTCTTAGAATTTACAAATTGCTAACTAGCAGCTTTATATTGGGAAACTGCATTTGATGGAATTTTCTAAGAGATGAAAACAGCAAAGGCCAAAACCACAGAGATCTCTCCCAAGGTCTGGGCAGGAAGGAGGAAGGACATATGGGATGGTCATTCCATCTTGCCAACCTACAGTCTTAAGAGGGAATAGGCATTTCTCATTTATCTCTAACATTAGTTTGATAGGAAAGTCAATGTCTTTCATGCAAATTAGGAAAAGCAGGTGCCATCCAAGGAAGTCTGGTGATAGGAAACATCAGTTTGGAAGAAAAGTCATACAACTCACACACACACACACACACACACACACACACACACACACACAGAGTGAACATTAAGAGGAGTTGGGGAGAGGAGACCTAGTACAGTTCCAAAAATTTAGACACTGTGACAGGAAAAAAGTAATTAATGGTAAGGTGAAAAGAATCAAATTTGTATGGAATGACTGAAAATATGAACTTAAAATAATGGAGTTGTTCAGAAATCTCTGTAAGATACAGATATGGAGCCTGAGTCTGTACTTTTTAAAATAAAGTAAAAGGACCTCACATTTTCTTCTACATTCTCCACCCATAATTCCTCCCCAGTAACTTGGCAAGAACATACTTAAGTTCTATTCCTATTGTCTATGATTCCATAATTCAACCACCCACTCTTGGTTCTGTATTCATACTCCAGCTTAGAGCTGTGAGCAGAATTATTGAATGGTAGGCGCAAACAAGAGAAGTTTCAGCTTGGGTTTCATAGTTCCTTGGTCAAATTTCTCATTCCTCTAAATGTGCAAAAGTTGCAAAGCTGTAAAAAGTGTGTCCAGTAGCCATTGCACTTAGTTTTTTAACAGCAAAGATAGTAATAATAATAATTATTATTATTATTTTATTTCAGAGGGGAAGGGAGTGGGAGAGAGAGATAGAAACATCAATGATGAGAGGGAATTATTGATCAGCTGCCTCCTGCACACCCTCCACTGGGATTGAGCCTGCAACCTGGACATGTACCCTGACCAGGAATCAAACCATGACCTCCTGGTTCATAGGTGGATGCTCAACCGCCGAGTCGTGCCAGCCAGGCGACGCACCGATAATTATTAACAATGAAATAGTCGTAACAGTTAAATGTTCCTTTAGTAGTTCAATTTTAGTGGGTGATGAGAGGGAAGAGAGTCCAAATAATTAGTGATGTGGAAATGATCCTCACCCTTAGACATAAAATAGTTTAAACAGCAAAATGGGGTCCCTCTCTTATTGTCATGGCTAATGAAATAAATTCCTGAAATTGCGTGTTATTTTTATAAAATTTTTGGCTAAATCAAAATGGATTTTTAAGTTGTATCCATGTCAATTGGTCATAAGATTATATTGTGTTATTCAGATTAATCACTAATACAGCATTCAGAAATCTTATCTACTTCTCCAC